GGGGAGTAAAAAGTTGGGGGAGGAGGGCTTTCTGGAGGAGGCGGTCCTGGGACAAATGGGGACTATGGGGGAGGTGGATGCGGGGCCACTAGAGAGAGAACCTGTATCCTAGGGGCATGGAGGACCTCAGTCTCCAGTAAAAGATGTGGCTTGGGCTGGGAGGGAGCTGCTGAGGGCCCCTGAGCAGGTGTGGGTCAGTGGCATGTGTGGACCTTCTGTGTCAAGAAGACAAGCCAGAAGCGCAGAGCGTGGCCTGGGGGCTGGAAGAAGTCCCTGGAGCCAGACTCCTGGGAATCAGCTGGGGCTTCCTGCCACTTCTACCTTGGCAGGTAACTTCACATATAAAATGGGGACAAGACTTAGTGGAATCATGGTTCATGCATCCGGATATTGGCAGAGAGCTCTGGGCTTGGTGTCAGGTAGCCAGCTCTACCCCTGACTGAGCCCACTGCCACCTCTATGTACTGACATTTCAGATGGGGGTGTTCTTTCCATCAGAGTTGTAGAGAGAATTTGTCTTCATGTGATGCTAGGTATCCAGCATGCGTTCAGTTGGAGCTGTTCTAGAAGCCAGTGCTGCTATCAGACTTGCTATGGGACTGTCCCTATAATGCAGCAGTCCCCAACTTTTTTGGCACAAGGGACCAGTTTCATGGACAATTTTCCATGGGTTGGGGGAGACAGAGCTCAGGCGGTGATGGGAGCGATGTGGAGTGGCTGCAAATACAGATGAAGCTTCCCTCATTCGCCCAGCACTCACCTCCTGCTGTGCGGCCCAGTTCCTGAGTTTCATGGAAGACAATTTTGGGGGTGGGGGAAGAGGTGTTGGAGGGCAGAGTGGGCACGGAGCTCAGGTGGTGATGCGCATCCTGGTTCCTAACAGGCCACAGACCAGTACAGGGTTGTGGCCTGGTGGTTGGGAACCGCAGCTGTAATAAACGCCCATCTGTTCCTTGCCCTCAAATTCCTGGGTATTGCAACATCCTGGAAACTTGTCCTCCTTTCAACTTCTGTCCTCAGCAGAAAGGGGAAGTGGCTGTGTCTAGGGAGGGGAGGAAGTGTGACTAGGATGTGACCCTGAATGTTAGCTCCCACCAGCTCAGATGAGCATCAGCTCAGCAGGAGAGCTTCTTCCACCTCTTACCAGGAGAGGCAGTCTCCAGCAGTAATACAAAGTGCCCAGCCTTCCCGCCTCCACATGGAGCTGCATTACTCAAGCTGCCTTTTCCCTAGTGTTTGGTGCAGCTTCCTATTACATTGGAAACTCTGAATCAATATTTTGCACATGGGTTTAAAACTTTGCCTTTGTGCTTCCTAGTAGCCAGGGGAAAAGGGAAATGAAGTATATTAAAGGACAATGAAAAAAATCATACAAATACACAATTCAGATGTCAAAGACCTTTTTTAACTTACTTTTTAAACATTTTATTTATTTATTTATTTTGAGACAGAGTCTCACTCTGTTGCCTTGGCTAGAGTGCCGTGGCTTCAGCCTAGCTCACAGCAACCTCAAACTCCTGGGCTCAAGCGATCCTTCTGCCTCAGCCTCCTGAGTAGCTGGGACTACAGGCATGTGCCACCATGCCCGGCTAATTTTTTCTATGTGTATATATATATATATTTAGTTGTCCAGATAATTTCTATTTTTAGCAGAGACGAGGTCTCACTCTTGTTCAGGCTGGTCTCAAACTCCTGACCTTGAGCCATCCACCCGCTTCGGCCTCCCAGAGTGCTAGGATTACAGGCGTGAGCCACCGCGCCAAGCCTAAACATCTTAATTCAAACTGGTTCGAAGGAGACTCCAAAAATCAATTGCATCTCTGTTGAAAAGAATCATCTGCATTACTGTCAGTTTTCTACAATTTAGAGCTGTTAGATACTTTCGACAAATACAAAAAGTCAGACTCTTATAGACCAGATAACCTGGAAGGGTGCTAAAGCACACCCAGTAATCCTTATGCCTCTTTCAAAGTCTTTCACGATTTTTCCTGACAGGTGTTAGATTAATCAGCTCTTTTTAGCAATGTATTCTAAGTGGCTCCTATAGGATAATGGAAGTCTTCAGAGAGAGGTTGGATACCACCAGAGAGGTAATGCCGTGTCTCCTGTCAAAAGACAAAATTACAACAAATTCAAAGATCTGAATGACTTTTATTAGCAATTCATGAATTGGGCAGCATCCCATCTAAGGGAAAGGCCCTGTGCTTTGCCTGGCAGAACAGTTGGCGTTTGTAAGTTAGCTTGAGCAGGAACAAGGACACAACATAATACAAGCAGCAGGTTGGTTAACATGAGTTACCTTCCTTGGGCCAAAAGCCAAAACTGCAACAAGCTTAACACGTTAACTGCCATGAGAGTTGTATTTAACTCACTCTATTTTTGATTCTGGGGCCACGTGAAGCAAATATAAAATCCTGATGTTCTTATTGTTAGAATTAAATTTTCAATATTAATTGTAAAAACGTGGATTAAATGAATTAGAAGTCAATAAATTTCATTTTTCTATTTATGTTTACCTTTAAATTACACTCAAGGTTTTTATTCTATTTTCATAATAATACACTGTGGCCCCAAGGAAAAGTTCCTGATTTTTTTGTGTGCCAGTCAATGTGTTAAAGATCTCAGTTGGCTTTATTTGTGATTCTAGAATTGGGCAACACCTCATTCCATAAAATAAGAGCTCTGATGAGCTGGGCAGAAGGGCTTGGCTTTATAGACTGCTGTGGTTTGGATTTTGTCCCATGCAACCATCACATTGAAATTTGATCCCCAATGTTGGAGGTGGGGCCTAATGGAAGATGTTTAGGTCCTGGGGGTGAATCTCTCATAAATAGATTAACGCCTCTGGGGGGCTCTCTGGGGGATGAGTTCTCACTCTATTAGTCCCCGTGAGAGGTGGGTGTTAAAGAGGGCCTGGCACCCCCCTTTCTTCCTGTGCCAAATAAACCTCTTTTCTCTATAAACTACCCAAGCTCAAGTATTCTGTTATAGCAACCCTAAATGGACTAAGACATAGAGAAAGGGCCAGAGAAAGTAGAAGCAAAAATCGGAGTATATTAGTCCTTTCAAAGTTGCTTCTGTCATAAGGAGGGGATAGGGAGACAGAATAATAACTGATTAAGCTGGGCCTGGTGGCACATGCCTGTAGTCCCAGCTACTGAGGAAGCTGAGGCAGGAGGATCGCTTGAGGCAAGGACTTTGAGGCTGCAGGGAGCTATGATCTCGCCTATGAATGGCCACTGCAGTCCAGCCTGGGCAA